TATATAAATAGTACTTTATTTATAAAGTACTTTATTTACTTTTAAATAACTTTTGAACTGAATGTAATGTTGTTGGACAATTAATTGCTTGTTATTTACAAATACAGGGAAATGTATTATACATTTATATTAGATGCAATTAGTTGAAATATCAGTTCTGTTGGAACTTGTATGTCATGTTTTTTTTAAATATATTTGTCAATATTTTTTTTATTATGAAGTTGCAATGTAGTACATTTAAAATATATTAACTTCAAATGTGATAGATAAATAAATAAATAACAAGCTACCTAACAAGTAACACACTAGTTAAAATTATAATCTAGTACATGTTTTAGTATGTTAGTCAACACATCAAAATAACTGTACTTTTTAACGTATGACTAAAGAATAACACAATTAATTTTAAAGTTGAAGTTTTAATTTGACATTATCACAAAATGATTTTTAATGCGCTTAAGTGAGATAAGAAGCATAGTTATGAATGTACATTTACAGTTTTTTTTCAACTGCTTACATTTTCATCCATTTATTCTCCTTCCTCCTGGATAAAATTACCTTAATGTAAGTGGCTTTCTGTTTGCAAATATATCGGTTACTTTCATCTGACTGTAATCCTGAGGGATTACAGGGGGCTCTTCTGAATCAATAAGAGCTTTATTTGGGTCAGCGCCATGCAGTGGTGAGACAGACCCAAGGTGCAGCGCGTTCCTTTGTCTCTGGACTGATTAATGGCCCCAAAGACCCCTCTGCCCTCCAATGGAAAGTCTTAATTTGCTCTGTCTGCAGAGCCACATACAGCGGACAGATATTCTTGACTCGTTTGTGGTTTTTCATGTTGTTTTGGTCTTATCTCCCTTCTTAGGCAGTTCTGTGAAAGAAAGACATTTAATTTGACATTATCACAAAATGATTTTTAATGCGCTTAAGTGAGATAAGAAGCATAGTTATGAATGTACATTTACAGTTTTTTTTCAACTGCTTACATTTTCAAAACTTTGCCTCTTTTTTTTTGTTTTGCAAAACTTTACACACAAATCCAAGAATTGCACACACAAAATGCAAAATGCCTCACAAATCTTGCAAAATGGAGCACTGCATTCAAAATATCACAAGCTACATGCCACCAACTGAGTGAAGCCTAGTTTACTCTCACTGAGCACTGAGCATGAGTTTGTTTACTACATTTAATTTATAATTCCTTAAGTAGTGTTTTAGAATTATGTGTAGTGCACAAAATGGCATTTTCCCCCCAGAAAGAAACGATATGCCATACAATAATGTGCCAAAAGAAACAATGAGTCAACTAAATTATACATTGACTGACTTTTTTTTATTATTATTATTTTATTTACTTATTTTATTTTTTTTTTATAGAAATTACTATTTATATTCTACTCATGGCTCATTTATCTCTCGTTTATGGTGAAATAACTGTACTTTTTAACGTATGACTAAAGAATAACACAATTAATTTTAAAGTTGAAGTTTTAATTTGACATTATCACAAAATGATTTTTAATGCGCTTAAGTGAGATAAGAAGCATAGTTATGAATGTACATTTACAGTTTTTTTTCAACTGCTTACATTTTCAAAACTTTGCCTCTTTTTTTTTGTTTTGCAAAACTTTACACACAAATCCAAGAATTGCACACACAAAATGCAAAATGCCTCACAAATCTTGCAAAATCGAGCACTGCATTCAAAATATCACAAGCTCATCTCAAAAGCAAACATTTGCAAACACCTTTGCCATCATATTAATTCCTGTTAGATTTTTGTGTGTTACAAAGAGAATTGTGTGTTGTGTTTTGCAAAAAAAAAAAGTGTTTAATGAAATTGAAAACTGTGTCAAAGGCCGAGAATTAGTGTATGGTTTTGCAGATCTGGTGTGTGCTTCTGGTGCTTGAGTGTCCGCTTTCAGAAATTGTGTGACAAGTAAAGATTTTGTGTGTAAGCAGTTAAAAACAAATGTAAGTGGCCTTTTCTTTAACTAATATGATATAATCTGCACATTTTTTAAATAAACTTCTAAGATTCAAGCACACAATAATTGCACATTTTCTTTCATTTATTTATTTATTTTTCCCAAGGGTGATATGTTGTTCTAAATTAATTAATTGTGTGTGTGTGTGTGTGTGTGTGTGTGTGTGTGTGTGTGTGTGTGTGTGTGTGTGTGTGTGTTTCATTTCAAATAAAATATGTTAAAATATACCACACTATCCTGCATTTTGTGTTTTTGATTTTGAGCCATGAGTTCAATTTGTAACTTTATATTGTTTACTGGTCAAACATCTATGAATTGTGAATTTGCAGGTCAACTTTTATCAGACTTTAATTCAATATGCAACAAAGCATGCAACTTATCTTTTATTTTTTAAATTGTTTGCTATATTCTGTCAAAATGCTTTCTTTGATTTTATATAGCAAAAATCAGCTTGGTTGTAATCATGTGAGAAGAAGTGTGCATCATCTTTGAGATTGTTTGCCTCATGGAGTTTTTACCTGTTTTGGTATGATTCGTTTTTTGATTTATTGTGATTTGTTTTTTTTCCATCTTTAGGGTCTGGTGATTTAGTTATTACTCTTTAAAGTAAAATATTCTATATGGCTCTCTGTTTGAAATGTTCGGGAGCTCAGCTTGACAGATCACATAGATCGGACACCTCTGACCTAATCAAAACACAGGCAGCAGATACCATTAAATCTTTAACCCTCTCTCTCTCTCTCTCTCTCTCTCTCTCTCACACACACACACACACACACACATACAAAATAGCATTAATTTTTCAGAAATTTGACTGATCATTTAGTATAGTAATGCACCTTAGGATAAAAGAAATCTACAAATTTAATCTCTGACAACAAAATCATTGCAGAAATCATACAATGTACACTTGGCTTAAGCTTCTTCAACAAACTACATTTATCTGCCTGTTTAAACATTACAGTCTGTATAGAAATAAGAGCTCGCTCTCTGTCGCTCCTTTAACTCACCCTTTCTTTGTGGCGTCTCTCCGGCTTCCCTTCATTTTAAAGGATCCTCTCAAAGTTTGTGGCCCATTACCTTTTTCTCCTCGGCCATAAGTAGCACAGTATTTTAATAATTGAAAAAAAGATCCTGATTTACATTTAAACTGAAAATCAGTTTCCTCCTAATAATAATGTACTATAATCCACCTTGAACCACCATTTCAGGAGGTTAAATTCTGAAATGTTACATGCAGAGGCTGGAAGATTCTTTTCTTTGTCGGTCTCCCAAGAGCTTGACCGAAGGACCCCAAATCTGACCATTTCCACAGCTATTTTGAAGGAAGAGCCAACAAGAGAAGAGAAAGCTGTGGAAGAGGAAGAGCCAAGGGTTTAAAGTGTTGCTTTTAAGCAACCGTGTTTTGAAGACTCCTGATGTTTGCAGAGACCGGTGCTTTTATCTGTTTTATCTGAAAGGATTTGGAAAGCATTTTAATCTTGGAAGACCGTCACCCTAGTTGGTATTTTTCCACTAAAATGAGTCCAATTACTGCCATCTTCCAAAATGTTTTTTGGCCACCTGTTAAAGGGATAGTTGACCCAAAAATGAAAATTCTGTCATCATTTATTAACCTTTAAGTTGTCCCAAACCTGTATGAGTTTCATTCTTTTCATAGTGTGGAATGAATGAATGAATGAATGAATTAATTAATTAATTTATTTATTTATTTATTTATTAATTTATTTAAAATACTAGGGAATTCAGTGGCTACCGTCAACTGTCTGGTTACCAACATTCATCATGATATTTTCTTTTGTGTTTGACAGAAGAAAGAAAATCATACATGTTTGGAAAAGATTGGTCATTCATTAATTAATTAATTCATTCATTCATTAATGCATTCAATACTATGGAAGTCAATGGCTAGCAAAGTCTGGTTACCATTACTACCAAAATAGCTTTTTGTGTTCAATAGAAATTCATACAAGTCTGGAACAAATTGAGGGTGAGTAAATGTCTATTTGTGGCTGATTTCAAATAGCTTTGGTAACAGAAAACTTGGTTTCATGATTTTACATCCACACCACTAGGTGTCAACATCCAAGATGAGTGTCAGCATAAACCAAACCAACTGCAACTTTTGTGCAACTTTTAAAGTGAAGATTGTCATTTCTGTGCCGAAAGTTGGATCCTCCATTGTTCGGACAAATGTGTAGTTCCCAAACTACTATGCGCTACTGGTTGAGCCACACAAGAACAGAAAAACGCTCTTTTGTATAGTGAGTCAACTTATGAATGGCTTTCTTATAACTGTGTCTGTACATTCACATACTGCAGTACTTCAGTAAAAAGGTATTTTACAGACAAGAGACAAAAGATAGGATGTCTTGGTGCTTTTTACAAGTATTACCACAAGATTAAATTATAATTTCACTGCAGTATCTGATCTCACACATGGCTCACTTTAAGGGCACTTGTTTTTAACTAAATGTAATTCTGAGCCCATCAGGTGAGAGTTTTGAGAAGAAAAAACCTTTTAAAGGGAAGGTGGCTACTTTGGTAATACACTTTTGGTGAGTATCTTTCTCCATTCATTACATGGTAAACCTGACTGGGGCATAATAGCCTCAACGTCCTAGAGGACCCAAGGGTGTTTATTTCATCCTGAGGCGCTTCTATATCTGTTGTCATCCTGTAGTGTGGGAAGTTATTTACAGTGCAAAGCCTCCAGACTGCTCTTTACTTTTCCCTGAAGCACAGAAGGTGAGAAAAGCCACTCTCTGGGAATGAAGTGAGGTAAGCGATGCCCTCTGCCTACTTCTCATGTAAGAAGGTCATGGCAGTGGCTAATTTTCGCCGAGGCCTTTCTGCTCCACCCCTATTTCCGAGGTGTGGGCTAAAGTCTTACAAAACTTCTCTCTTTTTTCACCTTTTCTACAATTTGCAGGTCAGATTGGTTTGATCAGGGTAGTGGTGCTTCGGCCAAGGTCTCAGGTTAACTTACAAAGTGCTCTGAAAAGAAAAAAAAAAGTTGTCAGCAAAGAACGGCAATAGAGAAGACCTTAAATAGCAACAATATTACATTTAGTATACTGGCCTTTTGAAGGCATCAATATAATCCATGTTATTTCCATTTAAAGCTGACGTGTGTCATATCTTCACCATTAGCGTCATCACACAGAACTGCAAAAATCAAGCAGTTTCCCAAACTCTCCAAATGTCTTTGGTCAAAAACATTACATTTGGTTGAGTAGAGGTTTTCTGAGTCATACTGGTCAAGATTTAGCTAGTTAGCATGGCTCCATACTAGTAGTTTCTGTTGTCATACAAGATCTCAACGCAGAATCCTACTAACTATAAATCAGAACTGTATTCGGTGCCTGATAAGAAATAATGGAAAATTACGTTACAATCTTCAAACTGCACTCTTTAGTTTTAAAGTATTGATTTTGTGAAATAGAAACAAGAAGAAGAACAAGGATCCACCGCAGTTCCCCAAATTAACCAAATCTTTATGTCAATATGGATTACAGTTTTCATCAAATGTATATTGGCTTACACTATATTAGTATTTTCACTGCAAGATTTTAAAATGTTTGAAGTAAAAATCTCTAAGTCTCCAGTTTAATTCTCCTCGATGCCCTTTTTGTCTTTTATTCCGTGTGCATACAAATCATGGCTATGCTTTTACAGATTTCCTTGTTTTCTGCTTGAGCAGACCACCGTCAATTGACCGAAGATTCTTCTGAGATGCAGGTATGCCGAGCTCATTTCATAATCATTAGGTAGCTAGGCAACTTTATAGTGCACTATGCTGAGGCAGGCAAAATACAAGAGAGAGTGAAAGAGTGCTTGCCACTGAAACCACAGATCACACTCTATTTAGGAAACTAAAATGGAAGAAGAGAGTCGCTACAATTACAACCAAGCAAACAGTCACAGCTTAAAAGGAATCTGCTGGGTTTAGTGCAAAGTAAGCTTAATGGAAATGAATGGGGCCAATCAGTAAATGTTAAAATACTCTACATTTCTAAAGTGTTGCCACAAGATGTAAGCAATGAGTGCTAACATGAGCTTATCAACCTTTTAGTGTAAAGTTATATCCAATTTTACAACTCTGTTGTCATGACAAGGGAACAAATGTACAGATTGTTTCATTGTCACAGACCCTCAGGGTTGCCAAGTCAACAGTTTTACTGCAGAGTTGGGCTATGTTTACATACATTTATGCTTTTTAATCCTCCAAAAGCTGGCCCCATTCATTTCCATTTGTCGTAATCTTGATTTCTGCTTTTTTAGAAAACAAGAAATTAGTTGAATTATGCCACACATGCTGTTGGCTCAGCTATGAACCTGAAATATTCATTTGAAGTTTGCCAGTTGCAAAATATGTACGTCAGAGGAGTTATATTTTAAGAACGCACCAAGTGTTAATCTACCAAAGTAGAGCGGAAGACTAAT